GTTTTGCTGGTCAAATCACTGCAGCAGGAGAGAGGAAGGGAAAAGCTACAACTGTCTTCTGAGGAGTTTTAGTTGTTCTATCAGTTCAGGGACCTGCAGCAAAGGTATTGCCACACACTAAAACTTTCTAGCCTCCCTCTTCAGCTATCTAGGTAGTCTCAAGGTACATTCCTTGACAGCATCTCCACACACCTTCCAGTGGCCCATGGGGCATTTGTTAGTTACTAATCCCCAGGCTGGATCAACATCTAGTACGAGGAACAGATGTGCAAGAGGCTACAGGTCTAGCACTTCATAGACCTGAAAACACCAAGGATGCCTCTTAAAGCCAGGCAAGAACACACCACGCTACAAACAACATGCTTCAGGAAAATGAGTATTCTACCAGTATCAGAGGCACCATAGACTCAGGTCACCATGACCACCTCCAGGGAGTGGAGTAAGCTTCTTGAAGGACTAGCACCTTCTGCTCTTCTGTGCCTACTTCCTCAGCAGCATAATAACGAGCTTTCTGATGGAACTACAGCAGAAGACTTATATTATTCCCAAATAATTTTCAGTTTCCATCAGCTATGGAACAGTGCTCTTAAACCAAACCTGCAAATACATCTTTCTTAGTCAGCAGTGAGATTATCTGTGCCACTGGTCTGAACCCAGTAAATGGAAAACACCTTAGCTAAGCATTTTGCCTTTGTATCACAACACGTTGCCTCATGACTTGAGCTTTTTATTGTGCAGTTCATCCATTCTGGTATAGTCAGGCCTTCATTAAAAGTTCCAAAGGTAATGGGGGAAAAAACCTGTTATATCCTGTTTCCCCTCTAAAACATGGACAACATAGATAATGAGCCCTAGGTAAAATTCAAAGCTCTGCTGATCATTGCTGCTCAACTTTTCCATTTACTATAGTTCCAAGCTCTCTCCTATTGAGCTCAGTATCATTCAAAAGCAAGCAGAATGAGAAACAAAAAGATAGAGACCCATTCCACCAACTTCTTGCATTCAGCTCTACACAAAAAGTTTCGATCCTTGCCTTACTCTAGATCTTAAAAAAGACTTATAGAAGAAGACTGACAAGGATAATCAATGGCTTAGGAATAATTTATACAGACCACAATTAAGCAGACTAGGACTCTCCTTGACCTGACACCAGTGCAGGGAGTTATGCCAGAAGTTAACTAAACCTGGAGCAGCTTGGGAAACACAGCTGGACATAGACCAGCTGGTCTGTCTCCTCCATGGTAAAAAACAGCAGCAGCAAATGAATCTAACAGCAAACAACAAGCCCAAACCAAATAAGAGATAGCAATTACTCACAAGAAGCGTGGCTGTGAAAAATCATTCCCTTGGAATGCAACAGATTCACAAGGTCACTGAACAAGAAGTTACCTGATGGCTGTTAAACACAAGAGCTCTTAAACTGCTGCCAGAATATTTTAAGAGCACACCGCTGCAACGCTCAACTTACACACCTTATCAACTTGGTTTGGCCCCAGTTGGAGACAGGATACTGCTGCAGTAGGTACTTAGTCTGATTCAGTTTAGCTGTTTTTGTGAGCAGCTATCAGCTGGCTTGTGATCAGGCTTATTTCAGTTCAGAAAAGATAGTATATTCCACTCAGTATTTTTTTCCTTAAGAATCTGGAAAAAAGATGCAGTTTTGCAGATGTTTGTACTAGTGATCACGTACAATGCACTTTAACAAATTAAAATGCAAAACCAACATGGCCTATGAAAGAGTTTTAAAAGTTGCCTCTCAGCTTAAATGAGCAAGGTCTGCCAGAATAAGGGAGGGCTCCATACTTTTTAAGTGACCAAGGACAAGGCAGAGGGAGGTTTGACAAATAGTTACTGACAGTTTACAGCTGACGAACTAGGGGAGTATTAAGTGATTAAAAAGATACAATCATTTGCCCCAGTCAACTGTTCTGTGTCCCAATAAAGAAAAAGTCTCCATATTTCTAGTTGTATCTTCAGCATAGTGAGAGCAGATTAAAAATTCAACTACAGGATTTTCTTTTCCTGTTTTGAATAACAGTTTCCTGTGCCCCAGATTTCACAACTCTGCACAAATGCTACACTTGTGTCAGTCTTGTGACTTCAACAAGAAAAAAAGATCTTGCCTCCTCTTCCTCACAGAAAGACCAAATTACAGAGCATCATATAAGAAGTGATTTTAGCCAGGCAGGCTTGTGTGTTTATCTTCCAGTATCAGAAGTCAAGCCATTTTCTCCCAAAGGAACATCAAGTGCAACCTGAAGCACCCTGTGCCTGTAAGACTATTTGTGGTGTCCTGCCTCCAACTAGTGAGATGTCAATTTCAGCTGCTACTTGTTTTCTAAAAAAAAAAAAATATAAAAATGAGACTCCTCTAATGAGATAATTGCCATTTTCTCTACCTGTTTTCCCTGATAAATCAGTTCATCATTCTTTGCTACTATGGAAATAGATCTGCTCTGTCATAGCCATTTTCTTTCAACATGGAAAAAGGTCTGCTTCTCTGGTATCATTTAAAGCAGTGAAAGTGCAGCTGGAAGTGAAACAAGTTTTGAATTTGAATACTGATTCTACCAGTCCCAAGAACACATGGAGCCGAACGACAAGTTCTTAAATCAAACACACAAAACAAAAAACAACCACTTTTCATTGGAAGAGCTACAAGATTGTATTTGTCCTTAAAAATGTCTTTGATCAGAAACACAGAGATCCGTCAAATCACAATACAAAAACAAATGCTGTGAACAGTTGTAGCAGGAAGAGCTCAGTTTGCAGGAATGCTGGGCTCCGGATATCTAATTCTTTGATCTTTCCACTTCACCTTTTAGGAGATGAAAAGAATTGTAGGCAGAGAGCGTGGCACAAGTATGGGGGTACAACAGACTTTTATTTTACCATAACAACCCCCAGATCAACCTAGATGAAACAAAGACTTGACTGCAGTCTAGAAGACTGGCTCTTCCTCTGTCTCAGCCTTATTTAATTATACCTGGCCTTGCAGCAATCCAAAAACCATTATGGGTGCCAGGGTTTTCTATTGCTCCCTTCCCACTTCTCATCCTTTCTGCCAACAGCCTGCTTTCTGTTCAAGCTTACGCATAGCTGTCCCTTCGCACAGGTGTTTCTCTGTTTTTTCTCTATTCCAACCCTCCCTTTTCACCACACATCCAAGCCCTCTGCTGGTTAAGGGCTGCACTGTGTCCCAGAACGACCCTTTCCAAATTCTTTCCCTCTAAGTCATCCAGCAAAACACAGAGAGGGCCTGTTACAATACCCCTCCACCCCGAGCACTAGCTGCTCTTCCTTCTGCTGCCGAGCAGCCCGCCTCAAAGTCCTCTCCAGTAAAATTCCTACTCCGAGAATGGAAAATTTCAGGCACAAACTTTATGAAAGTTACAGTGAAATGAAAACAGGGGAAATTAACAGAACCTGATGTACTATTTTGGAAACCCTGACCTTCAACCTAACTTTTTGCCAGAACACAACTGTCACAAAAATGTTATTTCCGAGCAAGTCAACATTGCCCCAAACAGTTTTCTGTCACAGCTCAGACTCATCTAAGAAAATTAGCTGCTCTGCTTTTTTTTAGATGCCTTTGGGCTTTCATTTATCACATTATAGATACACAGAAACACTTGTACAGCTGAAGCTTTTTGTATTATTTGCTTTTAAGCCCAGAATTTAGAGTGATTAAATTCAATTTATGTTAGGGGAATCAGCATTAGAGGAGAATATTGCTTAGAGTCAGACATTGACTCTCTCCTCCCTCCTTGTGTTTTAAGTTAACTCAATCTTGTTTGTTCAGCCTGTTGCAAATTATTCTGACCAAAAACACGTTGCATGTAAAGTCTGGCATCAGCGATGGTGGAAAGATTTAAGAGAAGCATTTGAAGATAATAAAATCTGCTTTTTCTATATAGTGTATAGTATTTAACAGAAAGAAATATTTTAAGTTATTAGGACTCCTTAGTACCTTTTTATCAGTACCAGGAAACAAATCACCTACTTTGCAAACAGGTTAAGAACAACTGCCTTCGTGGCACATTTTACCCTGGCTGAGCTCCCTTTAAGGTACACTATGCTACACAGTTATGGAATCAGAATCCTACCTTACATTTACCATTTAGGGGTGGTTATGCATGAACAGCTCTGGTGTCTCCCTTCCTTCATCTGTTCAGAAATCTCCCTTTCTGCCAGGCCTGCACAACCTCCTTCAGAGGACAGTTCACAATAACTCAGACCTTGGAAAAAAAAAGTTACAAGAACATACAAGAAAATCACCCAACACTAGCCACTATTTTTACAAGTGCCTAAAGCAACTATCAAGAAGGCAAAAAATACTTCAAACCCATTACTGACAAGTATTGTGAAAACCATTAAGAACCCAAGGGACAAGCACATCTCACATGTCAAAATTTGGGTATAAGTCTATTTTTCTGTCCTCCCAGAACAAAGTTTCTGATCTGCTAGTTTATGACACAGGATTTTCTTGGAAACCTATTTTTACTACATTTGCAAGTGGTAGCCTGCACAAGCACAGCATTCTTTCCTGCATCACGTGCTGCCTGCCCAGAAAGGGCAAGTTTTCTACTGCTTACTAGAAGAATCCCATAGGATGCTGTGTAGGCTTCATGTCTTCAAAGGAATGAGTTTTCTACCAGCCAAAGTATACTATCAGTATATATCCATACATCAGTAAAATAAAGACAGATTTAAACATTAGTGGATTAGCTGTCAGACACATCAAAAGAGCTCTGAGGAGAGGCTCAAGCACTCAAGAGCCACCACAGGTTCATCACACTCAAGAGTTCCACATGTGCACTAGCAGGAGAACAGCAGATAGCCAGCAGGTCATGCCTAAGAAATTAACATCAACAGCAGATGATTTCTTGGGGAACAGTAGTTTTTCTTGCTTTTGTGTGATCTCTGGAGACAGCTGATACAATACAGCTACTCCAGCATTCCTACTGTTAGAGCATTGCTGAAATAACCATCTCATTACACACAGTAATGAAACTTGTATTTTATTATAAGCAAAACCAGCTTTTATATCAACAAGAAACCAGGACCTATACGTTTTTCTAAGAGCTACCCATGTAGAAACTGCTGTACATAGAAATTGACTTGTACTTTCAATTAGAGGAAAAAAAAGCATGGAGTGTTACAAAGAAACAAAACCAAACCCAAAAGTAATCAAAAAAAAAACCAGACCTCATTAATTACATGAAAATCTGCCAATATCCTGGTCCTTCCAGACAACAATAGTCACTATCTCCGATTCATAGTATTCCAAAATAAAAGTGACTGCTTGTTCAAACTTTCTCAATATTTTCTGCTTACCAATTCCAGATATGCAGTTTGGCAAAGACAATCTACTAGTCCACACAGTGTGCTCTTCAGAACCATTTTAGCATTTCCTTCTTCCAAAAAAAAAAAAAAAAAAAAAAAAAGAAAAAGTCACCGAGTACATATACTGCATCTTTGTAGGGGGAAAAGAAAAAAAAAAAAGGCAGGGGGAAGGTGTCTGATGCAGTGAGAAAGCAACGTAGACAACTCATAGGCAACAGCAGAAGCTTATCTGGGAAGTCTGGAGAAAGGCAGGAAACCATCTTCAGTATTCTGCATTGAAAGGGTACTCCTTGTGAGTCTTGCACCTGAAGGAAATCAAAGAGGAAAGATTATCTCATGTCTGCAAGATACTACATGCAGCTGTAATCACTGCAAAAAGCCACCAAGAGAGGAGCTGAACTCTATGAAAGCAGAGTCTGTTTCTTCATTTCTTCTGTTTTCCTTGGTGACATGCTGCCTTTGTAAACAGAAAGATTCTTCTCAGCATTTCAAGATATGCAACTTGGGTGCTTCGTAGGCAACTAATGCAATGTTTCACTGTTTACTGCCATAAAGACCTTTTTTGCAGCCTTCTAAAGATCTTGTATCTGGCTTTAGGCTTCCAACTTGCAAATCTTCATGTTACTTTTTTTGAATGTTCACTCATGTTCCCAACCACTCCCAAAGAACATACTGTCAGTTTTTATAATAAACCTAAGGCTCATCACAGAAAGACAAAATACTCAAGTATAGTTAATCAACAACTTTTATCTACATCATGCTCATTTCTCCAATATAGATGACAAAATTTTTGAATAAGAAGCCTCCTGTTGCAATTCTACAGAGTTTCTGCAAAACTACAGAAAGTTTCTTGGAGAATGAACTAAAAATGAAATTTTGCTTTATGCTCATTGCAATTTGGTTCATAACACGAACATTTAAATCTTACTCTGAAAAGTTATTTTGAGGATGACCCCTTTGGAAATTGAGTTTGCATATTCTGAATTTCAACCAAGACTAGTATCAATAACTTTATACACTGAACTATGACATACTGATAACAGCTTGAAGAAAGAAAACAACCACTGCCACTTACGTGCTCATTGCACAGGCTCTCCAGTTTCTATTAAAGCTGAGAATGGTTGCCATCTCCTCTTTAGTCAATTCAAAGTCAAACACCTAACAAGAGAAACAGCTGGGAATCACCTCTTCGAACAAACCAGAAACTGTAAGCAAAAATCACAAAATTACAGAACAAGTCCACAGTGTAGGGGTGCTTCTTAGAAGAAATCACTGCTTCACGAAGGAGGGAAAGGAAAAAGGCTGCTCTCTGGATTTCTGAGACTTCACTAGCTGGAGAAGGGGCAGTAGGTAAGCAGGAATAGGAAGGAATTAAAAAAACCCAACAAATCTGAAGTTGCAGTTACATGTGCCAGCTGTTTTAAGAAGTCTAGAGAACACTTCATGTTGCAGAATGCCCCCATCCTCCATTTGTGAAAAACACAGCTTTCTGTCCTATTACAAAGCAACACATTCAAGGCTTTCATATTCCACTTAATGCAACTATCTTCCAAAATCCAAATACTGGTTTCAGTCAAGGACCACCGAATTAAAAGCAGCGACATGGTTTCTGGACACCAGGACTATTTTCTCAACAGTGCTTGCTTTACATAAGTCTTTTGTAGTGTGCTACTGTACTCGGGCCCCAGGCAAGCTCTGCCAGATGACTCATCCACGTGGCATAGAAGAGGAAGCATCCTATAACGTGACTGCTAAGATAACCAGCACAGTGTTTCCAAAAGCTTTGCTCACTCCTGCTCTCCAACTGCAACCTTAAGGTTAACCCTCAGTAGACTGTAGGTAAACAGAGAAAAAAAGCCCAGTCCTCTTGCCTGAGGAAGCCTTAGGAAGGGTGTGAAAGGATCACTGCTTGCTCTGCAGGGGGAAGACATGCCATTTGTGAACATGCCATGCCCCCAGCTCACTCATAGTCACTCACCTTGAAGTTCTCCACGATGCGCTGTGGTGTGACAGACTTGGGAATCACAATCACATTTCTCTGGATGTGGAACCGAATGAGGACCTGCAAGAGCCAAACCACCAAGTCAGAGAGAGGATGGCTTTTGTTCTATGGCAAGCAGAGCCTGTTCCAGCAGTTCTTTGCTGCAATTTGTATAATTCAGCAGAACTAGCCTATTTGTGCAGAGTTGCATTTCAAACCATACACAAATTCTAAGCAGCATTTTCTGAAGTGCAAATAGAGAAGTGGTAGAGTCGCACAGAGGCAGACTCCCTTCTCATCCAATTTAGTGACACTCAAGTTTTCTCCTTCCCACCTAGACTCTCAGTAGGCTATACAAGGCTTCGCTTCTCTGCAACAGGACTTGAGATTTTAAGAGTGAAACATCAAAGCATCAGAAGATGGGTCAAGAAAAATGTTTCTTGTTGATAGTGAAGGAGCCCTTGCAAGCATGTGTTGAAGGCCACATAACAAACCTGCGTTGCTACTTAACATCACAGAAGAGCACCACAGGTGACAGGGAAGAGTCAGCCTGTCCTTTACTTTGTCATTATCTGTCCTGTGTGACAGGAAGGGGTACCCACGATCTGACATCTACATACCTGTGCTGGGGTTTTGTTGTGCTTGGCTGCAATCTCTTTGATCTTGGGGTCATCCAGAAGGGAAGGATCCTCTGGCTTAGCCCTACACAGCAGAAAGAAGATTAGTTGCAAGAAACCTCTGGAGATCCAACCTAGCAGAGATCCAGATCTGGATGAATGGATCTCTCCCATGAATGGAGACTTGTAGTCTCCAAGTTTCAAGCATAATCCATACCAGCTCCCTTGCAAAGCAAAAAGCAAACCTCACCAGGGTCTGTCAGGAGAGCCCAGGGGGCTGTACGCTGTCACAGCAATCCCTTTGGATTGACAGTACTTGATGAGCTTCTCCTGGGTAAGGTATGGATGACATTCAACCTGCCAACATAAGGGTATAGAGATTGACAGTGATTTAACCGCTTTAACATGTTCCAGAGATTTGTTTTTAATCAAATCAAAGGCTGATTATCGTTCTAACTTACAGTCTCTGTGTGATATTACACAGCCTTTGTTTTACTGTACATTGCCACCCCTTTCTACTATTGGTAGTAGTTCTCCTTGCAGTGAAGGGTCCAAGGACTGTAACACCACTCCCTGAAACTCTGCTGATCCATATAATCTCCAACACGTGGAATGAGCAGCTACATAATTGCTTAAGCGGGACAATTCAGTAAAATGCACACACAAGAGAACTGTAAAATCATAACAATAGGATAGCAAACCCGTAAGTACAAAGTTCTCTTTTCATCCTTAGTTAAGCATGCTGATGTTTGTTTTTTGGTTTGGTTTTTTTTTTTAAAAACGACTACCATATTAACCTCAATACCAGTATTGTTTCACTCATTTCTATTTGCTTTGTGTCAATACTCACACTGAATACCTCCAGTCTGCAAACAGTGAGAATGGCTGCCTGCTACAGATTTCAGTCCTTCAGCTTACAGTACATTACAGGGTTTTTATAGACACAGATGTACTTGCCATGAATTTCCATGAGAATATCTACATAACACAATACAGACTCCTTAACAGTGGATCTGTATTCTGCCAAGCTAAGGCACATGTATACAGTATGGAACGGGAACTATTTGTGTGTCAGGAGGCTGCAAATGAACATGAACATTTGATACTTTGTATAGAGGAACTTTAAGTAGAGTTACACAGCAGGGAGCACCACTTTCCTTTCAGCAGGCAACAGCAAGAACCTTTTTGACTACACTGTCATTCGAGCCTTCCTCAGCCTGCTGCTGCATTGCCAGGCAAGTCCCTGGGAACTTGTGCTTCTGGCAGGTGGAGCAAGAGACTGCCAAACATGGGATCAGTTTACAGCCTGGAGTGCTTTATTTGTATTTCTAGCTGGCTGCTGTGGTCAGAAGCCTGCTGTTCCCCTTCTGGAGCATGCTGGAATATGACACAACAGGACCCATCACTCAGTTTTTGGGGCAGATAACATATTTATTTTGCTTCAGCAGCTCCAGAAACACAACTACTACACAAGTAACAGACCAGACAGTTATTTTCTCAGCTATTAAATAGGTAGAGTTTGTGATAAGCCAGGCAAAGTCACCCTTCCCTGTAGCACTCAAGTTGAAAGACTTCCGAGCTACATTATCTAGTCTTATGTTTGGACCAGGATGAAAAGCCCATGATGTGCATTTAAACAAATATCTTAAGCTATTGCAATCCACACTGTGTAATAATGATCAAGTACTCAAGAGTCAGATTTCCTTACTGAACTAAGTACTGCTATCATTGTAATGCAATTACTACCTTGCCAAATTAATTTCTCTCCACGTATGAAACTGCTGTGCATACTGACTGCATTCAAATTAAGAATGGGAATGATGCCAAACACAGGGATTGCACTGAAACTTCTGCACAGAGTGTTTGCAGGAAGCATTATCACTATTAGGCCAATTGGTGCTAATAACCGACAAGATTGCAGGCTTTCATGCATTTCTTAAAAAGCAGTAACTTTTGAAGGACAGGGACCAAAGACCTATTGTTCTGAGCATAACTTGATTACAGTAATCAGAGCACTTGAGTACATTTCCAAGTGCGAGAGATATAAGGTCAGCAACCTCTGTGCAAGAGACAAGGGTAATTATCAACTACAGTGATAGTAGCAATAAGGTGAGGCAGATATTGAAAGATAACATAAGACATCACAGAGAGAGATATCCTAAGTATCCTAAAAGTACATTGGGACTGATTATGAAGATACACAGTAGAGAACCATTAGTTTTGGACTTGTGAATGTTTCAGTTTTATAGACTTCCAGAGAACAATAATATTTGCTTTCTAAAAAAAAAAAAAGGTGTTAAAATCCCTTTTCAGCACATATGCTTAAGCTACCACGATAAATTAACCAGTTCTTGTAATCAGTATCAATAACTGAGACTCCAGTCCTTCAAACACCATGGCAATCAAGGACAAGCCTAGCTAGACCCCACAGGGGGCTATCCTGGGGCCTGTCCTCTTCAACAACTTGTGCCAGGCAATGATCTTGTCAACTTTGCAAGTGATGCCAAATTGGGGAACAACTAGTCAATACACTCAACATACCAGTCAATACACTCTGACACTTCAGAGTGACCCACTGAGGCAGGAAGAACAGGCCAAGAGAAGTCTTACTAAATTCAACAACGCTGCACACAGAGCCCTGCTCCTGGGAAGGAAAGGTCCCTGGAAATAACACAGGCTGGAGCCTGAGTACCTGGAAAGTAACTATGCTAGAAATGACCTGGGGGCCATAGTAGGCTGAGCTGAACACGAGCCAGAAGCAAGCCCTGGCAGCAGGAATGCTGGCAGAAAATTGTGGGAAGTGATCCTCGGCCTCTACTTAGCACTTACTAGACCATCTTTACAATACTGTATCCAGTTTTATCCCTTCCCAGCCCCCTCAATAGAAAAGAGATTGACAGACTGTCATGAATTCAGCAGCAGTACACCAGCACAGCTGGAGAACCTCTTGTTGGGTTCTTGTTGGGAAAGGCTAAGGGAGCTGGGCTTGTTGAGCTTGGAGAAGCAAAGGCTTCAGGTCTCCCAGCAGCAGCTTTTCAGTATCTAAACCAAGGTAACCCAAAAGATGAGCCAAGCTTTCCAGTGGGGCATCAGGACAAGAGACAACAAGCTTAAGTTAAAACAAGAGAAGTTGAGACTGGATGTAGGAAGACTCCTTCCCTCCCCCATGCACCCAAGGCAGAGGGGTCAGGCAGTGGAGAACACCGCCAGGAGAGGCTGTGCAGTCTCCATCCTTACAAGTTTTCAAGACTGATAAAGCCCTGGGCAACTTGGTCTGATCTCACAGTTGATGCTGCTCTGAGCTGTGAATTACAGCATATTATCTCCCAAGGTCTCCTGCCATCTGAGTTTCCCTGAGATTTTATTTGAGTGGTGTCTATATACCTGCACAATTCTCTATGGCCTACTTTGTAACTCCATTTCCTCCTTCCTTTCAAGCCTCATTAAGTCTATAATCAGTCCATAAAGCATGTTCCTCTTCAGTTCCCTCAGTCACCCGCAACAGGAACTACCCTCTCCACAGAACAGTTGCAAAAAGGTCATCCAATTCTGTTAGGTGCTCATATACATATATACACAAGGTTTTACTCTACTACAAGGAAGTTTTTAAAGCTCATCCGAGTTCCCTGATCCCCCCAAAAAGAGGGATTCTGGAGCTGCTCCTTGCCAAATTTCTAAGCAGTACAGCAGAAAGTCCATACAGACCCAGCATCCTGTGCATCCAGAAATAGGATAAGATTGAAAGAACATACTGTCTCTACTCCATTCTCTCTATAATCTCATTTCATAATAAGATCTTGGCAGTTTTTAAAGAATTAAAAACAGAAACAAAACCACACAAATGTTTGCCTGCAGTCACTTTGCAACTTACCTGGTTATTTGCAGGCTTGTACTTCAGTCCGGGCTTGTTCAAGATTCTTTCAATCTGCTCATGGTTGAAGTTGGAGATACCAATGGCTTTTACCAGACCAGCATCCACCAGCTCTTCCATGGCCTAACAGGAAGAAAAGCAAAGTCAGCATCTAGTATACATGACAGGGGCTGAAGAACATGTTCTTCCTCACATGGCTTATTTACTGCATGAGAAGTACAAAATAAGCATTAAGATTTTTCAGAGTCTGAGGAAAAAAAAAACAGCACTAGTATTTGTCCTATGTGTCCCATTTCACCAAATCTCAGGGACTCATTCTTGGAGATTGTGGAAATTTACAGCAAGTTACAAGTGGAAAATACCCAACAACCCACTATTGTACCAGTGACCTCTTTCAAGCAGTTTTACATACATGAGACAATTTAGACTGCTGAAGGTATAAAAACATGGAAGAGACTGCTGGAGGCAGAAGACTCAATTCTCCTGCTGTGGCTGAACTTACCTCCCACGTATGCAGGATATCTGTGTTGCTGGGTATTGACATGCCTTTGTCATCTGTGGGAAACAGCTCCTCTCCTGCCTGTCAGTGAGAGAGAAAATGCTTGAAACACTCTTTGGTGGGAATTTAGCCTGAAGACCATGGTACTACAACCTTCTACTGCAGAACATACTAATACTTACTATCTACATATGTATTAGGTAATACTAATACTCATTATCTATATTCTTCAGCTTTTTCTTTTACTTTCACATGGGATTATGGTATTTTTGCCCACAGCCATCCCAATAAGGACCGGCACACTTGCTGGACAACATCCTCTGGCTCATAAAAATACATGTAGTGAAACATAACTCTTGTAGAGTTACAGACAGTTTACAAGTTTACCTTCTGTATTACAAAAATAAGCAATTCTTCTGTGGACATAATGAAGTGTTTTATTGAAATGAGTACTAAGGACCCGCTTAAGATCTGAAACACGTTCAATCTATATTGGACCAGATCTGCTGATAGGTCTTTCATAGGGAGATTCATTGTTTAAGTTCCTGGCATAGGAAATGTTGCAACAGCCCGAATCCCAGTTGGGACTACATGCCAGGCATCAGCTTCATTCAAAACCAGTTGTCTTCTACTGATACTTTACTACACCGCAACACATTTTCACTTTGATAGTTCTGTCCACATGAACTGTTTTTCATAGCATCTGTATTTTTAAAATTAGTTTGTCTCAGAAGCAACAAGTAGAAAGGAGGTTTTGATCAGTCTCTAACAGAAACACTAAGCTTAGAAATATTCAAACTGAGACATGCAGTCTCAGTTCCTTTGCATGCAGTCAGTAAAAGAATTAGGAACTAAAAAGTTTCACCTTTTGAAATAAGTCCAAGGTCTGTGGAACACTAAGGCTCCTACAGCAAAGGTGTCAGTTCAATCTGTACTGTATTAAAGGACTCAGTGATTAAAGACAGAAATGGAAGACAGAAACATTCTCTTGTTCTGTGATTCTGTAACATGCAGAGGAAAGAACTTCTGTCAGGCCGCAAAGCACAGCCCTCCTTCCCACAAAGAGAGAACCACACCATTGTCAGCTGAGCATATGTTGGATTTGTGGAAGACAACACAATAATCAAAGAGAGGGCAATATAACTTAGGCTTGTAGCCAGGAAACCCACTCCTAGCTCAAGGTTCACCTCTTCCATGATCAAAAGGGCAGAGGATGCTGTGCAAGCAGGAATCTCAGAGGCAGGGATGAACAGCCTAGCTCGCATGGCCAGAGTAAAGCTGAACAGCAGAGCAGTGCTGGTACACAACAGACACACCATGATCTGTGTCGGTTGGAGCAATTACCGGGCTGTAAAGCCATATAGCGCTTCAAAATTGCCAGTCACAGCAAACAAAGCCAAAGGCATTGCTGTTACTGTACCTTAAAACCAAGAGGCCAGTGGATGAGGTAGAGATCCAGGTAATCCAGTTTCAAGGCAGCAAGAGTCTTCTGGCAGGCTCCCTTCACCAGAGGCTTGTCATGAAATGTGCACCACAGCTAGAGACAAAAAACAAAGGCACACTGTGACTTCCTGGGTTAAGCCTCTTCAAACCCTTCTGTCCTCTTCAGGAGAGTGTCCCCTTTGGAAGGGATGGGGAACTAGGTCATCCTACTGATCTTCAAACAAGGCTTGCCCTGTGAGCAGGACTGCCCTGTGATACCAAAGGCAATATGTGCAGCGGCAACACATGATTGAACGGTGTTATGGCTGACGGAAGCAGTCTGGCTTCATTAATCAGGACTTCATTTAAAAACCACCCACTAGATGGTCAGATACTACAAGAGCAAAGGCAGCATAACTTCACGCCAGGAAAACTTTAAAGTATCGCCCACATCAGTGCTGCATACTCTGCATAACTCTCCATACAGGATGAAGCAATGTAGGAAGCTTATCTCAGGAGTGCCTTAAGCGATGCCTGAATCATTCCATGCTGCACCACAGAGAAGGAAAGTAAAGGAGTGGGGGGTTACTATGAAAAGACAGGCGTCTCCTGGGTTCCTATACCACCAGACCCATACCTTACTGACAACAAAGAGGTCCTCTCGTTTCACAACACCTTCCTTGATTTTCTGCTGGATCCCATCCCCAACTTCATTCTCATTTTGATACACGTAGGCACAGTCAAAGTGACGGTAGCCAGCATCAATGGCAGCCATCACTGCAGCTGTTACTTTTCCTGGTGGAGACTGGAAAAAACAATATCCAAGAAGCTCTAATTAATCTGTATCAAAGACCTCCTTCCTAGCAGGATTAAGAAAGCCACCCCAAATAAAAGAAAGCAAAAAAAACCCCACCAACAGCAGTAGGAAGACCCTCAGTTTTCCCTGCAGTGTTCTTTGAGCACATATACAGCTTGAATGTCAACTCCTGAGCTTAAAGCCACCTCCAGCCATTCTTCTGTCACCCCACTCCACTCCCAGCCAAGGGCTCACCCCAAAATCTTTGCCCAGACGAGGCCCCAACAGCAGGGCCGGTTCCCCAGAGCGGGGCCGAGGCCTCCCCACCGCTCTGAGGAGAAGCCCTGGGCAGCTGCCAGCCACAGGAAAGGGGAGTCTCAGCCCCGCAGAGGGGCCTCGGCCCAAGCCCCCGCGACCCTCGGTGCCACCGTGCCCAGAGGGGAGCCCTGCCCGGGATGGCGACGGGGGCCTGCGCTCGGAGGGCCTGGGCCTAGGCCGCCCCCCCCCCTCACCCCCTTCCTTCCCCCCGTCTCTCCCTCCTCAGTGCGGGGCCGGGGAAAGGGCGCCTCAGTGCGCGGTCGGTAACGGGCCGGGCCCCGGCTACGCACAGCCGGCCGGCCGCAGCCGCCCTCCCGCCGCCAGCCACGGGTTGAGGAGGGGGGGCACCGCCGCGACCCCCCGTTACCTTCCATGTGCCCAGCCCCAGGATGGGCATCTTGGCCCCGGTGTTCAGCTGCACGTAAGTCGCCATGGCCTCTCACACAGACCCACAAACGGCACCACCGCAAAATCGGCCGCCTCAGCGCCTTTAATAGCGGCGGGGCCTGCCCCGCCCCGGCGCGGAGGAGGGGAGGGGATGGCGGGGCGGTGCCGCAGCTGCACCCCGGCGGGGCCTCCGGGACCACGGAGCCCGTGGTGGGCGCCCGGGGTGGCGGCTGAGGGCTGAAGTAGGCCCGGTCTGCAAGTAGGCCCTGTCTGCGACCCCCCCCCCGGGGGCTGAGCTGGGTTGGGTGCGCGGTGCTCGGCTCCTTTCCCGTCACATCTTGTCCGTCCCCGGGATGGGGGTGGCAGAGGGGACATGAAGGAGATGGCGTCTCCTCGCCCCCTGAGAGCGGTGTGCATGTGGCCTGCCGTGGGGCTCAGCCCCTTGCAGGAGCAGCGTGTCCCCAGCCGTGGTGGGGATGGTGGCCTGGGGATGGTCCCCCCCCCCCAACTTTGTCACAGCCTTGTCACCCCGTGTGCTGGTAGAGCGAGGGCGGCTGGAGAAACATCAGGGTGGGTGGCTCCTGAGAGCAGGGAGAACCTGTTCCCCGCTACAAAGGGGACTGATGAAGGGAGAGTGAGCTGTGCTTTAGGAGTAATTCAGCACAAAGTGAGTTTAAAAAACCCCCACACTTTAGTTTGGATGTCTGGAGAGGGTTTTTCTTTTTTTGAAGTGTTTTGAAAGTCGCAGAAGAGGGGGGGGCGGCTTTCTAATGCCTGACATACTGATGGAATTGTCCCTCAGCCCTTTCGGGAGGTGCGGAGGGCATTGCAGAATAAAATGCATGATTGTAATCGTTACCGCGGGAGGTGGCCAACCATCTGGCATCCCGAAGCCGGCTCTGATGACGTTTTTTTTTTGCAGACAAGCGGGTGCTGTTCTGCTGGGGAGGTTGCCAGAGCAGTGGAAAAAAACCTGGCTTGCCCGGGAGGCTTCGCTGGTGGCTCAGAGGTGGAGAAGTGTCCTCAGGTGTGAGCGGTGGCTGCGGGTGCCTCTCCCACAGCAGAGGCCCCTGCTCTCCCTGCGGCTCGGCATCTATTTATTTATTTATTTATTTGCTCCATTTAACTAAGGGCGGGCAAGGTAATTGGTTTTCCTCTTTAATGTCCCTCCTGTTTCGTGTCAGTGCCGCCGGCTGTCCCCCGGGGTGGGATGTGATGTGTTTTCACTCAGATCACGAAAACCGTTGCATAACCCCGGTGCTTATCTCTCGCCGCTGGGGTTAGGTTTTCCCTGGCGGTTTCTCCTCAGAGAGGTGTTCTCCATCTCCTCAGAGAGGTGTTCTCCATCTCCTCGCTGCCAAGAGGCTTTGGGCAGGAGTTCCAGATTTTGGTTTTTGCTGTTGGCACCCTTGAGCGGGAGACTTTCCGCTCAAAGCTGTGAGGCACATCAGCTTTTGGCTGTTGACCTCCTCCCATTTCGCTGTTGACCTCCTCCCAAGGCCCGTTCCGTGGCAGCAGGGCCTTGGGGGAAGAAGAAGTACTGCAGGTGTCACTGGGTGACAGCCAGCCCGGTAAATCCTCCGCGCAGTGTCCTTGATAACAGGACCAGCTGGTTCTCTACAGTGAGTGCTGGCGACAAGGAACTGCATGAGGGAGGAAGGGTTTTCCTTGTGTTTTTTTTTTTTTTGTCTCTTGACCCGTGATCAAGGTTTTGCACTGAAACAGGATGTGTAGTATCATGAGTTTTTTGGGTTTGATTTTGCTGACTTTGCGTTTAGTCACTGTAATTTCACCACAAGTTGTGACTTTGCAGACCAGTGATGTTTGGTATCTGAGAGAAACAGGGTCCAAACCGATGGAAATGGCTATGTCCTTGTGGAGGCAGAGACCCTGGGGCCTGCTGAAAAAGCCCAAAGGTTTTTTGTCTTTTTCCCACCAAAGGACAGAATGACAAGGTGCAATCATCTTAGCCCTTCAGGGGCTCTGCAGCTTTAGGGGTGCTGACAGACACATGTGCCTGTTCTGAGGTGGGGGCAAGCGGGTTTCAAGCTCAAATCCCCAGGAAGGGCAGTGGGAATTTCTTCCTTGCTTGGAACCTTTAAAAGGGGAGGTTTATCTTGCTTCACTTCAACCTCTGTGTGCCAGGGGGCAGATCTGGGTGTGTTAGCTGGACCCTACTGTAGAAGACCTTGGTCTCTTCCTCGCTCTGAGCTCAGATCAAGCCAGGAGCAAATCTTGGAGAATCTCCTGTCTTCTCAGAATTGATGAGGCTTTTTTTTTTTTTTTTCTTCACACTGCTATTTGTCTGTTAATCCCATGTCTGCTTAAAAAACATGGAAGGAGGAGGGTGGTAGCTCACTCCAGAGAGGCTGGCTGCTGAGGAGCCTGGCAGCCCTGTGGGGACACAGGGAGCAATGAGAGGGAGTAAGCAGGGCTGAGGGGCAAAGGGAAGCATCAGGCAGCCAGCCCAGCCCTCCGAGCTACCCTCGCCTCAGGACAGGAGTTGGGATGGACTAGTGTGAGCCCTGGTGAAAATGGGGGAAGCAGAGGGAGGGGGTTGATATTAGGGCTTAGACAGAGGCTGGGGAACGGAGGGGAAAGGCATTTACTAAAGTTTGTTTTTCTGTGTTCTTTTTTCCCCCCTCAGTACCTGAATTGGTGAAGTTTGTCTTAACTGGTGATAAATCAGCTGAGATTGCCCTGAGAGGAGACCGTTTTGCCTGGGATGGTACCTGTTGGAGAATGCCTGGGATGCCCAGCCCTATGCTGACGTGTAATGAGAGGGACTCTGGAAGGAGCCACCATCCTGATCCTGGGAACACACAGTGGTGGAAGCGGCGCAGCCAGTTTTTGTCCAGGGGTGAGTGCAGACAGTGTGCAAACAGCTGGAGAAAAGAGAGACCTAGGGAAACCATCGCTGGGTGGGAAGGTGATTGGGAAGAGGCAGAGGGGTGCTTCCTCCAAGCCCATGCCCCAGCATGTAGGACCCAAAAGCACTGGCTGGGAAGCTGTGGGGGGGTTGGCTGTGAAACATGGGGAGCAGTGTGCTGCTGTCATGGGGCTGCGCCCTGGGGCTTGCCATGGGCTGCTGGTGGGGCTTCAACAGAGACCAGGACTGCTAAGCAGAGAGGGGGAGTCAGGCTGATGATCTTTGCTGCAGTAAAGAAGTGCCCAGGGCAAAGGGGAGGCCTTTGGTCAAGAGTGAGCAGTTAATTGCACTGAATTGGCCAGATGGAAAGCTGTGTGCCAGGTAAGCCAGGCTGCAGCTGTGGGAGCAGCGAGTGGTCTTAAAGTGGTTGCCTCAGAGAGGGGAAACAGAGGACTGATGGCAGAGTAAAAAGCTCTTTCGGGCAGACAGAGTTGCAAGGTTAAGTAGACCTGTGGGGTGGGAGTGCTGCACCTCAGAGCGTGAGTGCTGCCTCGACAGTCCTTTGCTCAGAGTGAAATGACAGAAATGCTGAACGCTTGCGGCAACTGGTGCCCCTGGAGTGGCTGTGGCGGTGCTGGGAAGCTGGAGCAGATGGGATACAGCTTGTGTCTTGGGAGAGCAGAGTTCTGGGGAGTTTGGGCTTTATGCTGCTTTCAAGTGCTGCCCTGCACAAGGGAGGAGGGCTTTGGGATTCCCTAGTGAAGGGCTATGTGGAAGGGCAATGGCCTGGTCCTGCTGATCCCACAGGGACGTGAGACATCCCCATAGAGTGACTGGAAGAAGGAAGGCAATCAACTGCGGTCGCTTGGACTGCTGGGTTGTGTTTACAAGCAAAGGGGAAGGGACCCTGAGAAAGTGTTGATCATTGATGCTGTGGCCTGAAAACTCCAAGGTCTGAGCACAGTTACTGCTGCCACTCTGGTGTCACCTGATAAGCTGGTGGGATGTCAAGGAGTGACTTACTGTGTCTGGTACTGGAGGGAGCATACCAGAAGACAGACAGGAGATTAGCAGCACGGCCGGGGATAATGCTGGCAGTCCAGCAGTATGGCTGGCCTTGAAAAAAGTTTTAGAAGGGGTTGGAAGTACATATTAAGATTGCTGCAGTGTTGATCCTGATAATTTTGTCTGCTGAGGAAGGGGGTGAGTTTGTGATGTATGTTATGTTCACACTGATGAGATGTTAACTACACTAGTCTGGTCTGCTGGGACAAGGGATGGAGTTTATAATAAATATACATTAAGATTATAATGATGCTAGAGTTTATATAAGGGTGAAACAATTCTTAATATATCTTTCAATGAGGTGAAAGGGTTGGAAACAGGTGCACTCTTTGAAGGAGATCCACGCCAAAACAGCTTACTTCTGAGGGGACTTTAGCTGGTGGATGAGCCATGCTGGAGCAATGAAATACCTGAAGGCACTGTGGCCACTGGGTGATCCATGCTGCAGAAGGTACACCACTGAAAAGACAGTGGTCTAAACTGTCTAAACTTGGCTCTCCCTGCACCATAGCAAATATTGTACCTTTATGTTCAATAAGAACGTGTATTTGATCTCAGCAGAGCTGTCTCACCTCAGCCTGGGGATCACTGAGGGTTTTATGGGTTGCTTCCTTCAGGAAGCTGGAAAACAAATGTTCTTGGGTGACATGTTTATGAATTGAAAGTGGAAATTTTGGAAGGAGGGTCCTGAGGTGCCTCTTTTCTTGAACAAAAGGTTTTACCATTTTCCCATGAAATCCTATGTGCAACTTTATGATTATGCATTTGGTCACCTGCCCAGTGGGAGGCAACAGAGAGGTGATGCAGCCACAAAAGCAAATACCTTCTCATCTCACTTGGTATTTGTTAAAGGAACCTTGATTGTTTTGATGGTTTGAGTTTGAGTGTCAGGTAAGAAGGAGGCTTGGGGTCTTGATTCCTTGAGACCTACCCTTGGACATCTTCCCTGTGCCAGGTATGCCCCAGAGTTGGTGTCTGTGCACATAAGGGTGTGTGGGGAACTCAGGTGCCCAGCTCCACTGTCACTGGGTTGCTGGGACTTGTGTCTCTGCACCATGCCCTCTGGGGCTAGGATCTGCTGGAAGCCTAGAGGCCAAAGAGGTTGGTGGGCTCAGGTCCTGCTGCTCCCTTTTGGGGGTGAGCACCCCCCTGCTGCTGCAGTACTGCAGGAGGACTTGGGGCCCCCAGCTGCAGCCGTGGGGCTGTGGGGGCAGGACAGTGGTGGGACAACGTGGCTGGGTTGAAGGGGACTGCCAGAGGAGATGGTTGGAGATGGATCATAGAATCATAGAATGGTTAGAGTTGGAAGGGACCTTAAAGATCATTGAGTTCCAACCCCCCTGCCATGGGCAGGGACACCTCCCACCAGACCAGGTTGCTCAAAGCCCCATCCAGCCTGGCCTTGAACACTTCCAGGGATGGGGCAACTTCCTGAGCAACCTGTTCCAGTGCCTCACCACCCTCACGGTAAAGAATTTCTTTCTGGTATTTAATCTAAATCTCCCCTCTTCCAACTTAAAACCATTACCCCTTGTCCTGTCACTACACTTCCTGACAAAGAGTCCCTCTCCAGCTCTCCTGCAGGCTTCCTTCAGATATTGGAAGGCTGCTATAGGGTCTCTCTGGAGCCTTTTCTTCTCCAGGCTGAACAACCCCAGCTCTCTCAGCCTGTCTTCAGCCCTCTGATCATCTTCATGGCTCTTCGCTGGACCCGTTCCAACAGATCCAGGATGGATGGGCCATCATCCCTGAGCACCTGTCCTGGGTTGGGTGTCCTGGGTTTGGAGCGTGTGGGGCTGTCCCAGAGGCTAGCAGGGCCAGTAGGGAGGCCAGTGGTTTGGGCAAAGCACCTGAGGGGGCTGAGCCCCCTCAGCCGGGGGGCAAACAAGTGGGTTGTGTGGCATGTGAAATGCACCCCCTGGCATCGCTGGGAGCTGTGGCTGGCGGGGAGGGGACAACATGGGTCTCCTCTGAGGGCTGGCTGCCCTCTGGTGTCCGCAGGGGAAAGCGCCGAGTGACTTTGTTGTCCCAGGGAGGAGTTGTGTTCATGGACTGCACCCTCAGTACGTTTGCAGATGACACCAAACCAGGTGGGAGTGTTGATCTGCTTGAGGGTTGGAAGGCTATACAGAGGGATCTGGACAGGTTGGATCAATGGGCCAAGGCCAATGGGATGAGGTTCAATAAGGCCAAGTGCCGGGTCCTGCATTTTGGTCACAACAATCCAGGCAACACTACAGGCTTGGGGAAGAGTGGCTGGAAAGCTGCCCAGCAGAAAAGGACCTGGGGGTGTTGGTGGACAGCCGGCTGAACTTGAGCCAGCAGTGTGCCCAGGTGGCCAAGAAGGCCAACGGCATCCTGGCCTGTATCAGGAACAGCGTGGCCAGCAGGAGCAGGGCAGTGATGGTGCCTCTGGACTGGGCACTGGTGAGGCCTCACCTCGAGGGCTGGGTTCAGTTCTGGGCCGCTCACTACAGAAAGGACATTGAGCTGCTGGAGCATGTCCAGAGGAGAGCCACCAAGCTGGGGAGGGGTCTGGAGAACAAGTCATACTAGGAGAGGCTGAGGGAACTGGGCATGTTGTGACTTTTGGTGGTCCTCATTTTGAGTGAAGTAGTTTCTTCCTCAGTCTTCATCTTCTTCACCTGTCCTTTGGCTCACTTTTCATGTTGGTAAAACATCTAACTGCTTAATTGCTCATTAAAACTAATGATCTCCCTGCTACCACCTGTTTGTCAGACATTGTCCATATTTATTGCATCCCTGTCTTAGGTCACCATGTTCTCAGAGCCACGTACATCCTTTCTCGTCTTACTAAATCCTTGAAACCGTTTGGGATGGTTACTAAAATAGCTACATTTCTTCTCTAAAAGAAGATTCTCTACTGTTTAACCATTTATAAACTACATAAAATCTGCCTTAGGTATCAGCTGGAGCTTAGAGGTTAGCCCTGAGGTCAGTACCTACAGCTGGGGGAGGTGATTCCCTAGCAGAGAGACTTCAGCAGCTGGCTGTGACTTAGGAGCAAAGTACAGCTGTGCAGAGTGGATCCAAAATAAAAAGTGCATCTTAAAAAAAGAACAGCAAAGAAATTCTCATATTTCTTCGGTTTGGTTGCGATAGGCTACCATCTATTAGTTCTGTACAGGAGTACTATAAATACTTGTACTGCATCCCTCTGCCACATTTTGTTCCTGGCCCAGAGGGTTGTATATTACCTTCTTTTGGAAGTTTTAGTTTGAAAAACAAAAAAAAATACGCCCCCCCCTCCCCCAAACCAGTTTTAGCTGTAACAAGCAGAATATTGAACTAAAAAATAATGGAGCTAGGAAAGAATGAAATCAGTTCCCAAATTCAAATGCTATTGGTGTCTAGCATCCTGTCTCACTTCTAGCTCTAAGGTCTAGGCAAGACCATAAACACACATTCAAAGTAAAAGATCTTTTTGATAAGGCAAGAATCTGCTATTTCATTGTTGCATTTAAAGATTAGTTTTTCTTCAAAGGTGGGCATTTGATGAAGTGGAAGGTACAAGTTCTGTGGTGTTTGTTTTTTTTTTTCTTTGCTTCTTAACAATTTTCCACATAAGGATAGAATTTCACAACTAGCAATAATCTGAAGCACAAATTGAAATTGTGTTGTATCTAAAACCCACCTTGCAGTTGTATTTTGAAACATAGGACAAACCCTGAGGAAAAAAAAGTGCCCAGCATGCATCTTTATGTTTTCTGGATATGGATTTTTTTTCTTTATTTTTTTAAAAGAGGGATAAATAGTAAAAATCCCTTTTCCAGTTACTTTTGGAGTGGTGAAATTCCCGATTGCCTCATTTGTGCTAAGAAAATTAGTCTTTAATTCACATTTCTCAGATTTTCCTCCAGTGCTCACAACTGCTGATTATCCTCCTTAGCCTGTTGTTACAAGATGAAGTACAAGTGTGAATGTGTAGTTGTCTTTCCCTGTTTTCTCTTTAATCTCACGTTTTGGCAGAGACTCATAAATCTCTTTCTCTGCCTCCTCTCTTTGGAGAGAGAGAGGTAGGGAGAGGATCTGTCAACAGTTCATCTCGGTGGCCAGTCTGGCCCAAACCATGACAAATTATTACAGCCCACATTGTTTTCTTTAGAACAATTTTACTGTGTCCTTATTAAAAAAAAAACAAACCAAAAAACAACCAGTCACCACAATAAATCACTGAATAGGAAGCCTGTGACTTCACTGGCTGTAGGAGGAGAGAGAAAATAAGAAAGCTAGATAAATCAATAGGAAGAATATCAGACCAAGCTCTGAAAGATACGAGGGCAAGATATGAAAATCTTCAGTATTCTGCATTGAAAGGGTACTCCTTGTGAGTTTTGCACCTGAAGGGAACAAAGGTATTCGTTTCAGCCATTATTTTTCTATTATTTTAATCTATAAAGCTGTAAGGGGTGATTAGAGGAGCCACCACAGGAGGGTGTGAACTATGTAATTGTAGAACTGATTTGTTCCATATTTGTTTTCCTGGATAGTGTGTGCCATTTGTACACTGGGAACACTCAAATCATTTTGTCAGTGACTCAGGCTCTCAGTATTCTAGGCAATTGTTTAGATGCAAAATTGTAATTTTGCATTTAAACGAAAACTATGAACTGTGTATATAGCATTCATAACTTAAGGGTTTGGAAAAACTAAATCCTGAATGCTACCACTTACGTGCTCATTGTATACGCTCTCCAGTTCCTGTTAAAGCTGCAAATAGTTGCCATCTCCTCTTTCGTCAGTTCAAAGTCAAACACCTAACAAGAGAAACAGCTGGAAATCACCTCTCTGAACAAGTTAGAGGATGTAAGCAAAAAATCCTCTTGCCTGAGGAGGGGAGGGTAAAAAAGGATCACTGCTTGCTCTGCAGAGGGAAGATGTGCCCACCCTGACCATGCCATGCCCCCAGCTCACTGGTAACCACTCACCTTGGAGTTCTCCACGATGCGCTGTGGTGTGACGGACTTGGGAATCGCGATCACATTTCTCTGGATCTGGAAGCGAAGGAGAACCTGCAAGAACAGAAAACAGAATCATTCCTCCTGCTCTGGACGAAGCAGAGCCTGTTCCAACAGCTGTTTTCCCTAAGCTACCCCTGCTTCTGCAGAGCCATGTTTCAAATCACTCCTGCCCCTGTGGCCTTTTCAGCTTTTCCTGAAGTGCAAATAGAGAAGTGGTGGTACCTCACATGGAAGACCTCCTTTCCCATTCAGTTTTGGGAAAAATAAAGTCTTTTCCTTCCCACCTGAACTTTTATCAAGGTTTCATTCTCTTCAATGGGACTAGAGATGGGAAAACTAAAACATCACAGCATCAGAAGATGGGTCAAGAAAAATGTTTCTTGTTGATAGCCCTTGCAAGCATGTGTTGAAGGCCACATAGCAAACAAACCTGTGTTGCTACTTAACATCACAGAAGAGCACCACAGGTGACAGGGAATGAAGAGTCAGCCTGTCCTTTACTGTTGTGTTACAGAAGGGGGTACCCACTGTCTGGCCCCTACGTACCTGTGCTGGGCTTTTGTTGTGCTTGGCAGCAATCTCTTTGATCTTGGGGTCATCCAGAAGGGAAGGATCCTCTGGTTTAGCCCTACACAGGGGAGATAGCAACAGAATTCTGTATTTTGGTGAATGATTAATGGTGCGCTTACTGTCTCAGTGCTTCCAGCATAATCCATGCCAACTCCCTCACAAATTTCAGCCTTACCATGGCCTGTCAGGAGAGCCGAGGGGGCTGTACGCTGTCACAGCAATCCCTTTGGATTGACAGTACTTGATCAGCTTCTCCTGGGTGAGGTAGGGATTACATTCGATCTGCCAACACAAGAGTACGGAGATTGATAGCAATACAAATTCCATAACTCACTGCAGAGATCATCTCCCAAAGCGCTTACAGCTCAGTTTTTGCCCCAGTGTGCTAGTCTTTGTAAAGTACTATTCAGCCTTAGTTTTATACAGCACATACAGTAAAGCCTCTTGCATCTCTGAGTCTTTGCTGTGGGGAAAGAGCACTTCAAAAGGCTCATCTTTGGGTTCTTTGGCCCTGAGAAAACATGCTCTGAGGTGCTTCTATGAGATTTCTAAGCAATAGTTTAGCAGATATTGGAGACTTCAGTGCATTGTATATTCAGTAATAACGTGGAGTGGGATTAGAAAGACATGCTGCATCTGCTCTGTTCTTCCTTCTTCTCTGTTCTTGCCATAAAATCCTCTTGTGAGTTTGTGTGAAGCGGTTCTAGAGATATCTGTAGTTTCAAAGAGATGCACTTTTTTCCGTTTTAGCCTGTTCTTTTTTTGGTAACTACATCATAAGTATCCTTAGGACTGATATGCCCTGGAGAGTGGTATTCAGTGAACCTGAATTGAGAGCTGTAAGAGATGTCTGAGTCTGGAAAAGGCCACTTGGAGAAATAAGCATCTACAGCAGGTTATGTAGCTACTGCAGTGCGCAGACAAAGACTATGTGAGTATTTGTATGTGTGTATACACACACTTTATTTTTATTTTATATAAATAAAAGAGTCTTCAGGGCAGATACCAGGAAGCCACTGGTGTGCAAATACATGATTTGCTTCTGCATATACAATTAAAATGGACCTCCCATTTCCAGCTGGGTGAGTGAATTGTGCATGCATATCTGCATGAGAAGCAATGCATGTGTTGTGTGACCAGTTATCTGCTATAAATAACAGATTGATGTTATTACTAATAACAGAACAGGTATTTTAAGAAGTTATGGTTGTAGTCTGTGTACCACAACTTCATCCTTTATCAGGATACAGGAGATTTACAACATCCTAGAAATAACCCTAGAGTGTTGAAAGTGTTGTTATCTACTTTGTTCTCTCTTTTTCCATCTCCTCATTCAACTGTAATCAGATCTTTATAAACCTTGGAAACTATTCATTTGCAGTCACGTTGCAGCTTTACCTGGTTATTTGCAGGCTTGTATTTCAGTCCTGGCTTGTTCAAGATTCTTTCAATCTGCTCATGGTTGAAGTTGGAGATTCCAATGGCTTTTACTAGACCACAGTCCACAAGTTCTTCCATGGCCTAACAGAAAGAGGAGCAAAGTCAGCATCCAGTGTACAAGCCAGGGCCAGAAGATGTTCTTCCTAATGTGGCTGGTTTCCCTTCATTGGAAGGGAAAGACAACTGGATTTTGTCTCTTGAGGAAAAGTGCACACTGGTGTATTTGTGTCATGTCTTCCATCTCACCCAAGCCCAAAAGCTCATTTCTTGAGATGGTAGAAACACCAAGTTGTGGAAAATAATGATAATAACATGCCATTGAGCTAGCACTGGACCGCTGTACCCCAGGCTGTAGGCAAGATCACAACCTAAAATATCTTTATTTCTGCAAAGTGTATTTGAGTAGTTTGAAGAACTGTGGTGAAGACAGTTCTGTGGCTATTATGGTCAAGCAATCTGGTCTGCAGCTCCACTGAAGATTGTCAGCTTGGCTAAGCATTATGTTTTGAATAGCTGAATTGTATACCGTAAGATAAATAAGAAGTTTGTGACTGCTGAAGGTAATGAGAGCATGGAAAAGACTGCCAAGGACAGAACACATTGTTCTCCCACTGTGGCTGAACTTACCTCCCATGTATCTAGAATATCTGTGTTGCCAGGTATTGACATGCCTTTGTCATCTGTGGGAAACAGCTCCTCCCCTGCCTGTCAGTGAGAAAGAAAACATTTGAAACAACACTTGAAACACTGTTGGAAAGTTCATACCTTGGCAACTGAGGACCACAATAGCTTTAACTTCTACTGTGGGAAATATGCTAATACTTGTCTATGTCATTCATGCAGGTTTATAGCATTTTGCCAGCAACCATTCCTAGTAGGAGGGACAGGTGTATCTCCTGGACCCAGCAAAGTGGTGACTCACCAAAACACATACAGATAAACAAGTCACCTCACTTGTGGAACAAAGCAGAACAAACAAGATTGCTGTACTCCTCTATCGTGCCTGGTATTTTTTTTGAAAGTACCTGTTTAGGTCCAAAGGACATTTAAGTTGGGTCTAGGGTGAGTCATATCTGCTGAACAATGTATTAGGTACACACAGGTCTTCCGTAAGGGGAGCCTCAGTTTAAGTTGGTGCACTAGGAAAATCAGAACATCTCAGATGTATGGGAACAGAGCTAGGTCCCCACATCTCCCTGTTGCTCTACACCTAGTGTGTTCTGCAGAAGTCAGAGTATTATGCCACGACACTCTTACTCAAGGGCTTTGTTCCCATAAAACTAACCACGACAGCTTTGAAAGTATGACAAACAGTTGATAAGCTCAAAAGCAATAGATAGGATGGAGATCTTAACCTGTCTGTAGCAGAAAGGAAAAGCTAAGACTAGAAATAGACTGAGCCATCAGCTCCTTTGAAGTACATGAAGTGTGAAACTTGGATGTCAAAAAGTCCCACCTTTTAAAATCCAAGGTCTGTGGAACAAGACTAGGGCTCCTGCAGCAAAGGTCAGCTCAATCTGTACTGTATTAAGGGCTCAGTGATTAAAGACAGAAATGGAGAGTAGAAGCGTATTCTTTTGCTCTGTGATTCTGTAACGTGCAGAGGAAAGGGTTTCTGTCAGGCAGCAAAGCACAGCCCTCCTTCCCACAAAGTAGGAGGCTAAATCATTGGCAGATGAGTATATTTGGATTTGTAAAAGACAAAAGTGAGACATAGCCAAAAGTAAAGCAGCACAACTCTTGCTTGAAGCTGGGAGGCCTGACCTTAGTGCTAGGTTTGAACCTCCACTATCAGAAGGGCAGAGGACGCTGGGCAGGCAGCAGTCTCAGGGGCAGAGATCAAGATTTGGGCACACGTGGCCAGGGCAAAGCTGAAAGAGCAGCGCTGGTTCTCACAAGAGACATCTTCTCTTTCTAGACTGGAGCAGCAGCAGTGCTGCAAGAGTTTCTGGCAGTTTTGAGGAGGTCTCCCAGGAGGGAAATCCAAGGGCATTGCTGTTACTGTACCTTGAACCCAAGAGGCCAGTGCATGAGGTAGAGATCCAGGTAATCCAATTTCAGGTCGGCAAGAGTCTTCTGGCAGGCTCCCTTCACCAGAGGCTTGTCATAAAATGTGCACCACAGCTAGAGACAAAACAACCAAGGCACACTGTGACCTCCTTGGTTAAAGCTCATGGAACCTTTGTGTCCTGTTCAGGAGAGTGCCTGTCCCTATGGAAGGGGATGGGGAACTAGGTCATCCTGCTGCTCTTGAGATGGGGCTTGCTTACTCACGCAGTGAGTGCTGTGGTGGCTTATGTGATCAAACAGGGTTGTAAACTGAAAAACACTAATCCTGCTCCATTGGTCAGGACATGTAAAAGCCACTTATTACAGACAGATACCGCTTCAAGAGTTCTTTTTATCCTAATTTCAGCGATGAGCCAAATCTCAGGTTTCCTGCATAAGCAAGGAAAAGAACACACTTTCTGGGACTGTTTGACTTGAATGCATATTTTGAACAGTCCCATGAAAACGGAGAATGGGCAGCATATCTTAAATAAGTCTCTACAAGATTAGGTGACAAAAAGGGACTTCCATCAGTGTTGGCCTAAACTATATTCTGAATTCCTCCATGCTATAGCACATGGTCTTTCCACACCTCTCTGAATTTCCTCCTATGAACACATTCCACACAGGGAAGCAGGCCTTCCCCTGGATCCTGGGGCACCAGATCCTTACCTTACTGACGATGAAGAGATCTTCTCGTTTCACAACACCTTCCCTGATTTTCTGCTGGATCCCTTCCCCAACTTCACTCTCGTTCTGGTACACGTAGGCACAGTCAAAGTGGCGGTACCCAGCATCGATGGCAGCCATCACTGCAGCTGTTACTTGCCCAGCTGGGGACTGGAAAAAAGAAGGTTAAGAACTCAAATCAAAGCATACATGCCATTTCCTAGTTAGAAACTTAAGAAACCCATAAAAAGGGGTTTTAAGAAGAGTTCTTCTATGCAGTGTTCTTAAAGCTACGTTCATCTTCTAAAAGCAGGCTCCAGGGCTTGGAGCCAGCATCCAGCCATTTCTCCATAGCCCCACTCCCACAGGTTCATCCCATCAGCCAGGGAGGGCAGAGCCCCAGAGAGCAGGACAGTTCTCCAGAGCTGGACCAGTGGGAACAGAGTTTTGTGCCGGGAAGCTCTACAGTTCCTCTTGCCCAGCCCTCCCCGCTTCCCAGTGCTGTTTCTGAGAAGAGAAACAGCAACTGCCCAGCCAGGGGAATTGTAGTTTGATGGAGGGGGCAGTGGTCTACACCTCAGTCATCCACATCACCATGGAGCACTGTACCATGCTCTAGCCCAGCTCCTCCCATCCATCCCAGCCATCCTTTGAAGGCTGCACCAGCCCCTTCCTTCAGAGGTGCAGGAGATGTACATTTCTATACCCTGAAAGGGCAGGTAAGAGCTGGGCACAGAGAAACGTTGGTGTGGCTTGTTCAGACAGGTCCAGTAGTGTTTGTCCTCAGGCATCGCACAGATCACTGTTTGATTTTGGTGGTGCACATCTCTTTTGTCAGAGCTTGCTTGGAACGCATGAATTGCCTTCTAAAGCTGCATCTTATTACCAGGTGATGCAAGGTGACCTCACCCGGGATTTAAGTTACGGGGCAGAGAGGCAGCAGGCGAGCCCAGCAGCCCGGGCTGGGTCCGTAGGGTCCCATAGGGGCCCGTAGAGTTCTGTAGGGGCCTCTGGGTTCCATAAGTGCCCACAGGGGTCTGTAGAAGGCTGTAGGGTTCTGTAGGGTCCCATAGAGGCCCGCAGAGTTCCATAGGGGCATATAGGGTTCCATAAGTGCCCACAGGGGTCTGTAGAAGGCCATAGGGTTCCGTAGGGTTTCACAGGGGCCCGTAGAGTTCCTTAGGGTTCCATAAGTGCCCACAGGGGTCTGTAGAAGGCCATAGGTTTCCTTAGGGTCCCATAGAGGCCCTTAGAGTTCCGTAGGGGCCTATAGCGTTCCATAAGTGCCCACAGGGGTCTGTAGAAGGCCATAGGGTTCTGTAGGGTCCCATAGGGGCCTGTAGAGTTCCACAGGGGCCTATAGGGTTTCATAAGTGCCCGCAGGGGTCTGTAGAAGCCCATAGGTTTCCTTAGGGTTCTGTAGGGTTTCACAGGGGCCCGTATAGTTCCGTAGGGATCCATAAGTGCCCACAGGGGTCTGTAGAAGGCCATAAGGTTCTGTAGGGTCCCACAGGGGCCCGTAGAGTTCCATAGGGGCCTATAGGGTTCCATAAGTGCCCACAGGGGTCTGTAGAAGGCTGTAGGGTTCCGTAGGGTCCCATAGGGGCCCGTAGAGTTCTGTAGGGGCCTCTGGGTTCCATAAGTGCCCACAGGGGTCTGTAGAAGGCTGTAGGGTTCTGTAGGGTCCCATAGAGGCCCGCAGAGTTCCATAGGGGCATATAGGGTTCCATAAGTGCCCACAGGGGTCTGTAGAAGGCCATAGGGTTCCGTAGGGTTTCACAGGGGCCCGTAGAGTTCCTTAGGGTTCCATAAGTGCCCACAGGGGTCTGTAGAAGGCCATAGGTTTCCTTAGGGTCCCATAGAGGCCCTTAGAGTTCCGTAGGGGCCTATAGCGTTCCATAAGTGCCCACAGGGGTCTGTAGAAGGCCATAGGGTTCTGTAGGGTCCCATAGGGGCCTGTAGAGTTCCACAGGGGCCTATAGGGTTTCATAAGTGCCCGCAGGGGTCTGTAGAAGCCCATAGGTTTCCTTAGGGTTCTGTAGGGTTTCACAGGGGCCCGTATAGTTCCGTAGGGATCCATAAGTGCCCACAGGGGTCTGTAGAAGGCCATAGGGTTCTGTAGGGTCCCATAGGGGCCTGTAGAGTTCCACAGGGGCCTATAGGGTTTCATAAGTGCCCGCAGGGGTCTGTAGAAGCCCATAGGTTTCCTTAGGGTTCTGTAGGGTTTCACAGGGGCCCGTATAGTTCCGTAGGGATCCATAAGTGCCCACAGGGGTCTGTAGAAGGCCATAAGGTTCTGTAGGGTCCCACAGGGGCCCGTAGAGTTCCATAGGGGCCTATAGGGTTCCATAAGTGCCCACAGGGGTCTGTAGAAGGCTGTAGGGTTCCGTAGGGTCCCATAGGGGCCCGTAGAGTTCCGTAGGGGCCTATAGGGTTCCATAAGTGCCCACAGGGTCTGTAGAAGCCCATAGGGTTCCTTAGGGTTCTGTAGGGTTTCTCAGGGGCCCGTAGAGTTCCGTAGGGTTCCATAAGTGCCCACAGGGTCTGTAGAAGGCTGTAGGGCTCTGTAGGGTCCCATAGGGGCCTGCAGAGTTCCGTAGGGGCCTATAGGGTTCCATAAGCGCCCACAGGGGTCTGTAGAAGACCATAGGGTTCCTTAGGGTCCCATAGGGGCCTGTAGAGTTCCGTAGGGGCCTATAGGGTTCCATAAGTGCCCACAGGGGCTGTAGAAGGCTGTAGGGCTCTGTAGGGTCCCATAGGGGCCTGCAGAGTTCCGTAGGGGGCTATAGGGTTCCATAAGCGCCCACAGGGGTCTGTAGAAGCCCATAGGGTACCTTAGGGTTCCATAGGGTTCCATAAGTGCCCACAGGTGTCTCTAGAAGCCTGTAGGATTCCGTAGGGTTTCACAGGGGCCTGTAGAGTTCTGTAGGGGCCTATAGGGTTCCATAAGTGCCCACAGGAGTCTGTAGAAGCCTATAGGGTTCCTTAGGGTTCCGTAGGGTTTCACAGGGGCCCGTAGAGTTCCATAGGGGCCTATAGGGCTCCATAAGTGCCCACAGGGGTCTGTAGAAGCCCATAGGGTACCTTAGGGTTCCATAGGGGTCCATAAGTGCCCAGAGGGGTCTGTAGAAGGCCATAGGGTTCCTTAGGGTTCCGTAGGGTTTCACAGGGGCCCGTAGAGTTCCATAGGGGCCTATAGGGCTCCATAAGTGCCCACAGGGGTCTGTAGAAGGCTGTAGGGTTCCATAGGGTTTCACAGGGGCAGCTGCAGGAGCCAGACTGGGAGGGGATCCGCGCTCCCCTGCGGAAGGGATGGATGGAGGGAGGGAAGGAGCCGCCTCTTAGGAACCAGAGAGGCCCCAAGAGTCGTCTCTCCCCCGGGAGGGCAGCAAGAAGGACGGAGAAAATGGAAAGAACGGCTCAAAAGCAGGGCGGGGCTCCGCCGGCGGAGGGCGACCCCGGGCGGGATGTCGGTGGTACCGGCACCGCTGCGCTGGGGTCGGGCTGGCGGCGGGGAGGGGTCCCCGAACCGGGTTGCCCTCGCCTACAGAGCGCTCTGGGACCCCCCCA